GAGTGCAGATGGTTTTCACTATGGTTACAGGCCCCTTTAGTTGTTGATAGGTGGGTAGGCGGTAATCTCTTCTGTTTCAGTTGTTTCTTGTGAAGTAAGATCATCAACAATCCCTGACTGGATGTTCAGTTGGTTAGAGCATCGGCCCATACACCAAGGTTATGGGTTTGATCCCCAGTCAGGGCACATACAAGAATCAACCAATGAAAGTACAAATAAATGGAACAACCAATTGTTTCCCTCTTGTCAATAAATAATTTAAAAAAAAGATCAGAGAGTGAAGATGGTGAGGTGAGAGTAGAGAATGTAGAAAATAGGAGAGGGGAAAGTAGAAAAAGTCTACTGCAGGTTCAGGGTCATGAATCTGAAGTGAAGCCATCAGAGGGAGTGTGTGTGTGTATGTGTGTATTTCCAACCTGATTTAGCCACACAGGTACTAGCTCGGAGGCAAAGAGAAAAATTGCATTTAGCCAAGTTCATGGTTCAGCTAGGGAGTGTGATGAAATGAAGAGAGGTGGGCAAGGGGTTGGAGAGCCAGGGAATGGGATTGGTCATGGAATTAAAGTTTGAGTAAATTCTAATGTCATAATTTTTATTTAAAAATAGCATGTTACATTATCCAGTTTTTCACTTAAAAAAAAATCTCTGTTCATTCTGTCTTCCATTCTTCTAAATATGCATAGAAATGTCTGAATAATGATCTATAAATTCTGTTGATAATTCCATGTGGTGGGATTTTGAGCATATTTTAATTTCTTTTTATACTTTTAAAATACTTCAATAATAAGCTGTATAATTTCCACACTAAACAATACATATATTTTAAAGCAAAGCTGCAGAAACATGAATGGAAATAAAGCACATTAAGTTCAGGGTACATGGGGTAGTCTGGGGGCTGCTGGGAGAGACAGGACTATGAAGGCAGAAGGCAGTGTGCTCAGAGTGTGGGTGCTAGACTGCAGTTTGTATTTTTCTTAGTAGGAAGTAGGGCACCATTCCCTGCTGCAGAGTAAGGTGATTGCATGTCTTAAGGAATCTGACTGAGGTCAGTATCTAAGGGATTTTGGTGTGATGTCTTTTTCATGATGTTAAGGTACACAAAATGCAATTCCATTGCAGTCCAATGCCATATACACTTTTCTATCTTGGCAAAAATTATGATGAAATTGGTCTTGAAACTTAGGTGAGAATAACCTGTTTTATAAAGTTGCTGTGAGGAGTAAATGGTGTGTTTTTTAGGGCTTAGTATTATGCTTGGCATGTGGTATGTGGTGGGTAAGCGTTTGGTGTTAACCATTATTTATCACAACCACTGTCATTTCTTATTATGTAGATTCTTCATGAAATATTCTCCATATCAGCGTACTTTTGCTTATTTTTAAATTAGATCAGTGTTCCTTTAACAAGCAATTTGTTTGAAGTGGTATATCCCCCCCACCCCGCCCTCCAGTAATTTTTCTTTTCCAGGAACTACTGGATTTTCTGAAGTCTTAATGAACTATATTTTAGACTCCATAGCATCTATTAGCATTGCAAATAACCATCCCTTAATTTTTCGTCTTCAGGGGATGCTACTGAAGCTCCTTTGAAGCATTATAAAGTATGCCTATATTTTGCTGTAGTTCTGCTATTAATAGTAAAATCGGTGCTAAGTCAAATATTTCTTCAGTTTTGAGGTTTAAAATGCTAGATGAGATATAAAGATTATTATTCCATAGGGCTTGAGGAAACTAATGCCAATTTTATTTTTTAAAAAGTAAAAAAATCTCGGAAGGAAATTTACTAACATAATGATGGGATCTCTGCTTGGTGGGACTATCGGGGTTTTTTTTTTTTTTCAATACTAAATTATATACAGTAAGCATACATTTCTTTAAAAAAAATCAGAAGATGAAAATAAAGGTCTGGGTTGTAAAGATGGGGACCTCCTTGCCCTGTCTCCCACTTTACACTTACTAGTTCACTGACTTTGGGCAAGTCATATACCATCTCAGAGCCTTTATTTATCTGGAAAAGATGAGAATCAAATAAATAGAAGTACATAGAAATACTAAGGAAATTTTGAAATGCCATACAAATGGTAGTTATTATTAGAAGTAGTCTTAATTTTCAGAAATTATGTGCTTCTATTTTGGAGACATCGTATTCTAAAGCTCTAGTTCTTCATTACTGCATTAGAAGAAGACACATACAGAAATCATGTACAGTGGCTCAATTTTATTGAAGCCTTCTTTGTCTTTTTTTAGAAGTTCATTTTTAATGCTAGCTTTAAAACCACAGTGAAATTTTGAGTAATAGGATCACCCAAGTATTTTTTTTAAAACAAATCACTTCTATGATATTTCACATTTGGAATAATTTCATAAGTTGAGTTATGGGGCAGATCCTCAAGGTGAAAATGTGAAGGTGAATACTACCTTTGTCAAATGATAGAATAGCTTTGTTCAGCTCAGGTAAGCCAGTATATTTGAAATGTGTTTCCCACACATTTATGAAAACAAACAGAAAAGTCTTTTACTTGAGGTTACAGGTAAACACATGACATTTTGCCAGCTCAAAAATGATTAGATTTTCCAGTCATCAAAGGTTTATCTTATGAGTACCAACAAACTAATGTACACATAAACAGCTAGCCTGACCTTGTTCTTTGTAAACACAAGGGCACTTGATCTTCTAGTACTTTTTAGAATCAGTTTGGAGAGGCCTTGCCAAAAGAGGCCAAGCTTCATCAACAATATCAGCTGTCAGAGGTGAATTTTCTGAAGACATAACAAATTTACTTAGGACTTTCCTGCTAGTTTGGTGAGATCATCCTTCAAATCCGATCTCAGCCTGAAACTCCAAAGCCACCTTTAAGAAAATAACATTGGTCTGGGTGGCTCAGTTAGTTGGAGTGTCGTATCACAAAAAGGTTGTGGGTTTGATTCCCGGTCAGGGCACACATACCTAGGTTGTGGGTTCGATCCCCAGTCAGGGCGCATGCAGGAGGCAACCAACCGATGGATGTTTCTCTCTCTTTCTCCTCCCCTCCCTTCCCCCTCCTTTCTCTAAACATATCCTCGGGGGAAGACTAAAAAGAAAGAAAATAACATTGTCTTAGTCAGCTTGGGTATGTCATAAAAATATTTAGCTTTGGAAAAAGGCAGGTACACATCGGGCCAGAAATAAGGACAATGCTGATCTTTACCCCTGCAAACCATATTTATTTAATTATTCTTTTTTACAAACTATTTTTATAAAACATAGTCAAGAGACTTGAATTTTGGTAGTTATCTTCAGAGTTCAGAGAATTTATCTTTGACCCTTCATCTCATTAAGCTTGTCTTGGACCAGCTCAATTTCTCTAGCTGCTGCTTTTTTTTTTTTTTTTTTAAGATTTTATTTTATTATTTTTACAGAGAGGGGAAGGGAGGGAAAAAGGGAGAGAAACATCTATGTGTGGTTGCCTTTCACGTGCCCCCAACTGGGGACATGGCCCGCAACCCAGGCATGTGCCCTTACTGGAAATTGAACTGGCAACTCTTGGGTTCACAGGCCGGCACTCAATCCACTGAGCCACATCAGCCAGTACAATGGCTCTAGCTTCTTAAGCTCTTAACCCAGTCTACCATTCTCTCACTGGTAACCAAGTCCTTTCTTCCTATTTTCTATCCGCGGTTGAAGCCGCAAGCCATGAGCTCCTCCAACTTTCTGCATTACAACCTCCCCGCTTTCCCTATACACAATGTGCTATGTCTCATCCAGGTTACCTTCTCACGCCTCGGAAGGATAGCATATTCCTCCTCCTATTTCAGGATAATTCCTTTATCTTTGTACCTAGTTTCATCTCTTTTCCTCTGAGATCTTGATCCAGAAATTTCACTGTGTTGCTTCAGCCTTCACTTTCTATTACAGTTTCTCGCACAGATTGAGCATGCATGAGTATTTTAATCAGGTAAACAGGAAAGTCCTTGACCCTGCAACCCATTCTAGTTACTGCCCCTTGTTTCACTTTATTTTTATTTTTAAAATTTTAAAATTTTATTTCTTCCATCACCATTAACCCCTGCCCCATACCCTCTTCTACCTCCACCTCCCCTCAGCAATCACCACACAGTTTTGTTCACTTTAAAATTAGACTTATTGAAGAAAGTCACACGTTCCATTGAATCCTCAGCCCACATCCGATTCCATACAATCACAGGGTGCCGTGCGCACAGAGGAATAGGGACAGGCACCAGCTCTGAGAGCTTTTAAAGATGTTACCCATTGGATTGCAATAAAACACGCAGGAAGAGAGATCCTTTTCCTCATTTCTCTTACCATTTCTTCCCCCAGTCACTCAGTGACTGAAGTCACAAATCCCATAGTTTTCCTGGGCTTCTTTGTCAAGTCCAGCCCTCTTCCACATCTGTCCTGTCTTTGTCCTGATTCAAGGCCTCAGCCTCTGTCACCTGCGTTATTGCAGTAGATTCACAAGTGGTATCCCTGCTTTATATCTTAACCCCTTTGGATCCATCTTTCTCAAGGCCAGCATGGCATAGCAAAAATGACGATCTCACCTTATCACTGCTTGGCTTAAAAGTGTCCCATAACCTACAGTAGAGGTGGTCAAAATTCTGATCAGAATCCCTAGGGCAAGCTACCTCTAAATCTGTCTGTATATCAGGCCCCAACCTTGCAGATTGTGATTTTGTAGAACTGCTGGGCGCTGGCTTATGCTTTTAAGTTCCCTAAAAGAATTTGACACCTGACCAGATTGAGGAACTTCTAGGTTGCCAGGATCAGGTCAGAGCTGCTGTGCCTGGTTACACAGGTTACACAGGTTACACAAGGCCCTCCATGACCAGGCTTTGGCTGAGCCATTGGCCACACTTCCCACCATGCCCCACATGTCTACCTGTCTAGGTAAAATCATTCAATTTTATGTGACTCAGTTAAAGATTGTATTGGTAAAAAAGGTTTTGAAAATGGTAACATTTAAATACCTAATATTTGTAATGTGTTTCCTCTCTTTTTAGTGGATGATGCTGGCAAAATAGAACACGATGGTTCCTCTGGAATGACCTTGGATGCAGAGTCGGAAATTGATCCTTGTAAAGTGGATGGCACTTGCCCTGAAGTCATCAAGGTGTACATTTTTAAAGCTGACCCTGGAGAGGATGACTTAGGTAAGAGGACACCTTCAGCATGTTACACATCCTGACCCAAACACTTCAACTTGATTGCTTTTGGGTGGGTTATATTGAGAACATTGGAAAACTTTTCTGAAGATAACTTAAGCAAGGATTCCAGTGTAGCAGTAGGAAAGTATGTGAAATGTGCTAAGTGAAATAGGTGGAAATGAAATTTTCACGTAAATTCTTGGAGCTGTCATCTTCCCTGATAGGTGGCACTGTAGACATTGTGGAGAGTGAGCCTGAGAATGACCATGGAGTGGAACTGCTTGATCAGAATAGCGGTATTCGTGTGCCAAGGGAAAAGATGGTTTATATGACTGTCAATGATTCTCAACAAGAAGATGAAGATTTAAGTAAGTAGGTGGCCTTTTGTGGGAGAAAATTTGATCTCTGTATGGCCAGTGTTTAAAGGAAACAAGTAGCATTATTGTAGAAATTATTATGCTGCCGTATTCCAAGGAAACCATCAGTGACTTACTATGTATGCTTAGAATGTTGCTTTAAAAAAAATTATGGCGAAAACCAAGAAATGAATGATTCATTTAAATATTTGAGTGCTTACTACGTGAAAGTTATGTTCTAGGTATGTAACATTTGAGCCTTTTTTCTGCTTGTCCATTAAATGAATTCAAATGACAGTATCTTCTTTCCTATGATCTATGTGAGCCTGTCATAAAAGTTTATATAATTTTCTACTTAGATGTTGCAGAAATTGCGGATGAAGTTTATATGGAAGTGATTGTAGGAGAAGAGGATGCTGCTGCAGCAGCGGCGGCAGCTGCCGCACACGAACAGCAAATCGATGACAGTGAAATCAAAACCTTCATGCCAATAGCGTGGGCAGCAGCTTACGGTAAGTCGCACAGCAGCTCCTAAGATTGAGTTGGTGTTTGAGCGTGAATTCATGATTGAAAAACAGTTTCTGTGGTCTTAGAATTCCAAAACCTGAAATGCCAGTAACCCGTAAGGGTTGTTTGATTTGAACAGGAGTAGAGGAAGATTATAAAGTCTACTTTTTGTCTTTATTTTTAACAGGACTTTCCTTCATATGTCTAACACATAGAAGGAAGTGTTGCAAGAAGTACACAGGCTTTCAAGCTGAAACTTTTCATCTTGATTTTATCTGGCCCGTACCTTTTCAGTTTTGGGAGACGGCAAGGGAGTCCATGGGGCAAAATGCTTTCGTGTGCTTTTTAGATTTCGAAGCTAGGCCATTTCTTCCGGTCTCGCTATAATGAATGTGGTCATGAAACCCATTACCTGGAATGGGGAATTTCTGTCATTCATGAGTATCATGGCTTACTTTTCATTGTTGTAGTTAATAAAGAATCCCTAATTCTTTATAATTTATAATACAGTATAATTTTGTTTTTTAATGCACATCGTTAGGTAATAATTCTGATGGAATTGAAAACCGGAATGGCACTGCAAGTGCCCTCTTGCACATAGATGAGTCTGCTGGGCTCGGCAGACTGGCTAAACAAAAACCAAAGAAAAGGAGAAGACCTGATTCCAGGCAGTACCAAACAGGTGAGGGCACACGAGTTCCACAGCGCAGCTTGCTTTGCGAGCTCTCAGATGAAACTACTATGTATCCACAGAGGTGTTGTGATGGCATTTTAGCTGCTAGACCACATGTAGCTTTTGTGTATTGAAGTTGAAAATATAATTTTAAGAATTCAGTGATATTCATGAATGATTTTCTTGGATAAAAAGAAATAGGGAATGTATTAAGCATGAATGAAAAATTTCAAAACTTGGGTGATTTTATGTGGAAATGAAAAGAAATCCCTAAAATATGTTACAAGCATTAAAAACTAATATTTTTTAAGTAATCTGATTATGTCAGTGTAAAGGAGGCATGATTTACAGAGCAGCAGGACAGGTCCTTCCGTTCATGTGACATACTCCTATCTATTCTTGTATGCTCATTTGCATCTCAAAAATTTTATAGCGTATTTAAGCTTTACTCTAAATTGACATAAATTATGTTTTTTTGGAATAACCAAAGCAGAAATTGCGATTACGAAACTTTATTTCTATGAATAATTTCCCACTGATTTCTCAATCGATAATTGCTTTAATCACTAGTTGATGGAAGTTCCATATTTATTCATTGATTTTTTTTTTTAAACTGGAGGGAGTGAGGCTGGTATAGTCATAATGAAGTGTCCAGGCCAGGTTCCTCTTTATGACAAGGTTGCTGTGTCTCTTAGGCTGAAAAATGGTAAAAGCAAGGTTAAGGAGCAAATAGCTCGACTTAGGAGTACTTTCCCAATAATGTTCTGAACACACCCTTTAAATTCTTGAAGAAACCAAAACAGAACTTGGTTTGATCACTCATGCCCCTTTCTTTTCCTTTCTTAGCAATAATAATTGGCCCTGATGGACATCCCTTGACTGTCTATCCTTGCATGATCTGTGGGAAAAAGTTTAAGTCAAGAGGTTTTTTGAAAAGGCACATGAAAAACCACCCTGAACACCTTGCCAAGAAGAAGTACCGCTGTACTGACTGTGATTACACTACCAACAAGAAGATAAGTTTACACAACCACCTGGAGAGCCACAAGCTCACCAGCAAGACGGAGAAGGCCATCGAATGCGATGAGTGCGGGAAGCATTTCTCTCATGCTGGGGCTTTGTTTACTCACAAAATGGTGCATAAGGAAAAAGGAGCCAATAAAATGTACAAGTGTAAATTTTGTGAATATGAAACAGCTGAACAAGGATTATTGAATCGCCACCTTTTGGCCGTCCACAGCAAGAACTTTCCTCATATTTGCGTGGAGTGCGGTAAAGGTTTTCGTCACCCGTCAGAGCTCAAAAAGCACATGCGAATCCATACCGGTGAGAAGCCCTACCAATGCCAGTACTGCGAATATAGGTCTGCAGACTCTTCTAACTTGAAAACACACGTAAAAACTAAGCATAGCAAAGAGATGCCATTTAAGTGTGACATTTGTCTTCTGACTTTCTCAGATACCAAAGAGGTGCAGCAACATGCTCTTATCCACCAAGAAAGCAAAACACACCAGTGTGTGCATTGCGACCACAAGAGTTCGAACTCAAGTGATTTGAAACGACACATAATTTCAGTTCACACAAAGGACTACCCCCATAAGTGTGACATGTGTGACAAAGGCTTTCACAGGCCTTCAGAACTCAAGAAACACGTGGCTGCCCACAAGGGTAAAAAAATGCACCAGTGTAGACATTGTGACTTTAAGATTGCAGATCCATTTGTTCTGAGTCGCCATATTCTCTCGGTTCACACGAAAGATCTTCCCTTTAGGTGTAAGAGATGTAGAAAGGGATTTAGGCAACAGAATGAGCTTAAAAAGCATATGAAGACACACAGTGGCAGGAAAGTGTATCAGTGTGAATACTGTGAGTATAGCACGACAGATGCCTCGGGCTTTAAACGACATGTTATTTCCATTCATACGAAAGACTACCCTCACCGTTGTGAGTACTGCAAGAAAGGGTTCCGGAGACCTTCAGAGAAGAACCAGCACATAATGCGGCATCATAAAGAAGTGGGCCTGCCCTAATAATACTTCTACAGACATTTGTGGAGATGTTGGCCTTGAAGCAGAAAATTCATTGTAAAGCCAATCAGTCTCATTCACATACAATACTGTATATTGATTTATGCTGTGTACAAATAGAATATTGCTTCTAGTTGACTTTTTTTTTTTTTTTTTTTACGTTTTGTTCAATAGTGTGTTCTGAATTCTATTCAGTTTGTTTAATCAATGGGGAAGAGCAGCAACAAGCAAGTTGCTTTTAATGAAGTAAACCTTGCTTCTGTACTAAAATTTCCTATCTTATTAGTTTTGTATTTATTTAAATATTTACCTTGCTTACCTTGATGGTACTCTTCTAAGAGCATTTAACTTAAAGTTAGGGTAACTTTAGATTGAGTCAACATGATTACTTTCAGAGTAACTATTTTTTCCCCCATGAATTTCTCACAATAAAATTTTCAGAGACATCTACTAACATAAATGGGAGATTTAGCAGTCAGGTCTAATTAGGCTAACATGGAAGTCATTTACTTGTCTTGCTTAGTCTTTTCAGACCACATGACAATGAAAGTTTCCGTTTGAGCTTTTGCATCCCTGGCATTGCTGAGTAAAGAACAGTGGCTGGGTTTGTGTTTACTTTTCATTTTGTTCAGCGGACAAAATATACTTTGGGGGGGCTTTCTTTGGAGTATTTACATCTTTTGTCAGCATAGCAAAGTTTTAGAAAACTGAAAAATTTTGCTTGATCCTGTTGTATTTTGATTATTTTGTCTGTGCTGCTTTGTCTTGGAATGGTTGTGTGCTACAAATGAGACTTATTGGGGACTGCATTTTGGAATCTCCTAGAGGTAATTCGTGGCTCTTAGGATCTTTTGCAACTTTATATATGTAAATGTACCCTGAATTATGTATATGCACATATATATATATAACATGTATCTGTGTGTATTGCTTATTTTACATATTTATACACACAACCCCAAGTAGTAGTTGTTTAAAATCTATAATGAAAAGTATTAAATTTACAATAACATGAAAGATGCAGGGATGTATGAGAGCATTTTGTAAATCATGCTCTTCAGAGAGACTACTCAGGTGAAGAATTAGAAGGAAAATAAGGACACTAGTATTTTTAAAGAGTAAAGGTATTTTCTTTTAAATATCTTTGGTAATTGAAAAAATAGATGTTAAGATGTTTCTAGATAGAATGTTTTCATACAATTTCAGCTCCATGCCTTTATATTTTTCTGAAAAGCTAATGAGTATCCAGACAGACCTTCCTCAGTTCTCTCTGAGAGGCCCCTGCGAGGACTCTGTGTCACCAAGCAAGGGAGACTCAGGAAGCTGCGGCTCCACGTACCAGAGACTGGGTGCTAATTAGGATTTACACTTTTCAAGTTCAGCCTACTCTGTTATTTCTTAGTTATAGCTAGGAAACTTTCAAAAACTTAACGCTCAAGTTGGCTTTGAGTAGAACATAAGATAAAGGTATGTTTTAAGTGCATGAGGAAAATCTGAGGCCTTATTTGGAATGTCACCAAGTCTTTCACTGTTTTGTTCTTCTTTGAGGGTTGACTTTTTTTTTAAGCAAATACTTCTGACTCATAAAATGAACGCAGTTAATGAGAATTTGGTTATGTTCAGATACACTTTGGGGAACAGAAGACAGTTTTGGGGTCCTTAAATTGGCTGTCAGCACATACGAGTACCTGGCACATCGTGGGAGATTGAGGACTTTTCTTCCCACTTGATAGCTGCCTTGCCTCTTCATTATGGTGCTCCATCCTCTTTCTCTTTCATCTTTCTCTTTGTCGTTGATAACTGTATTCAAGAGTTTGTAGGGTTAGAAATCTAAGCATTAGGTGTTTGGCAAGCCTTTGAAGTGCTGGGTTGGTTTAGTCCAGTTCTAAATCCAGCCCTTTAAGCTGGTATGAACTCCAGCCTGCATGCCAGTCAGAACCAAGGCCTGGGCCTGTCCGAGTGGGGACTCCTGTGTCCTCTTGGCCTCTATAACGTGCTTTTTAAAAAAAAGTAACTTAAAATTGTGTGATTTCATTGCCCTGTAGCAGTTCTATTCTTGAAAGCTCTGTCTGTTTTTTTGTGAGAACCTTTACAATCTCCCTTACTTTTCGTTTTTCCCAGATTAATGTAAAACACTTATATGAAACCAGAAATTCATTAATTTTAAAACATTCTGTAAAATTAATACAGAAAATATAAATAATTGGTCATCTATATTTTTTTAAATAAACTGAAAGATAAAGAACACAGCATTTTACACACTTTATATTTCTCTTACATAGTCTGGAATCATACACAGTTCTTTTCTTTTTAAAGCACAATATTGAAACCTTTAAAAGGTATTTAAGGGTTTGGTCAAGTGAATATTATAAAATGTATTTGTCTGTATAAAGAGAAAATGAAATTGTAGTCACTTATGTATTGACATTAGTTACAACCTAGTTTTAATTCTTAAAACAATTTTGATTAGCAAAGCTAAAAAAAATGGTTGTTTCAGTTAAATGTTTTAAAGAGGTACAGATTTTTACAAGGACATAATATAAGTTATTGTTCTGTAGAAATATCCTATTAAATATTGTATGTCCCTCCCTCTGTACACTTTGTAAAAAAAGTAAAATACATAAAAAGAAAATCATATAGGGATGTGTGACATTATTGTAATTGTGTACTTGAGAATAACGTGCAAAAATAAAAATCAGAATATTTTCCTGTTACTGAATGTTTAGTCTATTTGATACCAGTACTAAGTTAATGCTTTTTCTTAAGGAAAAAAATGTACAGTTTTTGTAAACCTAATAAACATCAAAAGCAGTGGCTTATTTTCATTTCCCCATTTCTTAATTCCCTTTATGCAGCAGTGGAATTCAAAATTGATTGCTTTGAATTTTGTAAGTTGAATGCAAATGCTGATAATATTTCAGCCCTGCGAATTTGCAAGTAATATTTCAGAGAAGTTAAGAGGTGATTGGTGAGTCCTTTGATGAGCAAATCCTTGAAATTCTTTTTTTCTTTTATCTTCATGAAGGATTTGTTTTATTAGCATCTCCAATTCCTGAGATAACTTCCCTTGCATAAAGTGGGTTTTGAGAGCACTTAAAGTTCATTTCAGTATCAATCTGTAGCACATCGAATCAGTGGGGACTGTCACCGCCTCCACAGCAGTAGCCCTGCCCTAAGGTGACCCCTTGGTCCCCAGTTGGAGGGCCCTGGCAGACACTAACATACTAGAGAATGGTCATTGTCATAATAAAAATCAGGAAGTAGGTGAAAGTGATCAGGATTCAAAAAAGGATGAGATAGAGTTGAGTCATTGATTTTTAAAGATGAGATACTGCTGATCTTGAACTGTAGGAATAAGTGTGTGCCTAATAGTTGAGACAGTAAATGATCAAAACTGGAGTTAAATTATCCAGAGGACATGGTGAATGTCACTGTCCAGAGCCATAAATCAGAAAAATCATAGCATGCTCAGAAACTTCGGTGCAATACAATGCCTGACAGATAGCATCATACCAGCCTGCGATCTCCAGGCGGTCAGAACAGGTATTGCTCTGTTTTCTGGGAGTCTCAGTATTAATTTCCTGTATTTCCCACAAATTCTAAGATTCATATAAAGAAAAGCATGCCCAGTCAAAATCTTAAAAGGGTGCTGTTTCAGAACAGTGGTTTTCAATGCTGCCAAATTCTCAGTCCCACCCCAGACTCACTGAGTCGGAAAACTAGGCTCGAGACCCAGTGATCTTGTGTCTTAACATGTCCTTCAAAGTGATTCTGATTCATGTTCAAGTTTTGGAAACACTGTTTTAGAGCACTTGAAGAACTTCAAAGATTAGAAACGACACACATACACACAAAAGCCAGAAATGAGCAGTTGAAGGTGAAATGGGACTCACATTTTATTCCTTGGGTCTACCCCTTAAAGTGTGAGCCTGCCAGTCAATAAGTAAATCCTTTAGTTCACAAGTAAATAGCCTGGGTTTCATAAATCTTGTATGACCTCCCTAAGTTACACTCCTCAAAGGCAATAGAACTCAGAGGAAGATGAAGTAGAAGGGCTGAAAAGTGTGTATGTGTTTAATTAATTGGCCCAGCGTTACTTAAGTAATTCATATTTGAAAACCCGTTTTGCCACTTTCTGTAACTTTCGATAAGGTCAAAATTAAGTTTGCCCTTCTGGGTTTTGTTTTGTCTTGTGTATATATTGTTTGCCTTTTTCATAAAATAATTCTTGGATTTGTTATATATTGTTCTTGTTATTTTTGACATCTGCTATTGTTGTAAATAAATTCCTATTTTGTTTTACGTTACCCTAGTGGAGTGTTGGCTATAGACAAAGGCACACACACCGCACCGTGGAAATGCGGAAACTTAAATCACACAGCTAATAAATTCCCAGCACAGTGTAAGCTGGAAGTGACGGGACCCCTCAGTAGTCCCGCACTTCTAGCACCAATGAAGGTATTGCTGTTCCATATAGGTGTAGGATCTGTACCTGCTCAGACTTTAAAATCACTTTCATGACCTCTAAGATGAAAAAAATTCTTAGCCTGTTTGAGGTGAAACTCAAGAATGATTCTCCTTCATTTTTCCTGTTCACATGGTCCCACATCACGTATATTGCTGGTATCTGCGAACACAAGGGATTTTGCATCGTAGTGACCTGCTGATACTCTAAAGTCATTAGGATACTTTGCTACAGAAAACCTGTAGATGACATTTATTCATTCATGGTGTGAATTACCACAGAGATACCTAAACGCATTGACAAAAATGCAGAGTAGTTAACTAGAACTATACTACAATATTTTGCTTTCCAAGAGAGGCCAGTTTCTGCTTTTCCTTCATACTTGTGTTTGGCTTTAAAAGCGGAACCCATTTCCTTTTGCCTGGGCTGCTTTGAAATAAGGGGAGGTCTTGCAAAGCCATCTGTTGGGGTTTTGGAGGTTCTAATTATACCCGTCCCTCTGGGTTCTAACCACATTGGAAATAGATGCAAAAAACCATCAGTTGAGTGATTTCATTTAGTAAAGCTGGCATGGGAGATTCAGAGACCGAATCTCTCCTCCATTGTAGGCCTTGACCGATAGACCTAGTCATTTGAAGATGTGGGGCCCACCCTCTCCTCTGTGAGCTGTAGGGAGACGGCTTGGTTTCCCACCGAAGAAATAGAGCAAGCGGGCGAGGCTGGCTACGGCATTGTCCCCAGGGCTCCCCGGCCGGGACTGGGAAGGCAGAGAACAGTTCCCTTATGCCATGCTCATGAAATTATAGGGGTTAGTCCTGCTCTGAATGGCCCTCTGGCATTAGCCCATTAGCAAAGTGTGAGGTTGCGTATCTTTCATCTTGCAAGTTACATGTTCATTTTCCCCTGTTGACTTTTACTGGCCCCTCTTGGGGTAGTTCTTGTGACAGGATTTCAAAGCTTTAGTTCCTGTTTCTCCCAGGGCAGTATGCTTTGATTTTTCTTCAGAAAAGTAACTTCTAAAGGACAAATTTATTTAACTATACAAAGATGGAAATCTTGCAGGTTATTTTTATTGCATGATTTCATAACAAGAGTTGGAAAAACGATCACCCATGAAGACACTTGCTATATTAAAGGGCTTGTTCGTCTTTGTTCTTTTCCAGTCTGAGCCCATACACACAAATCTTTGATTTGTCTTGTAGCCACAGCATTGATTTTACTGTGTCCAGCAATCTTCTTTTCAAATATCAAGTATTTTGGTATGTATTGGTTGCCTTAGAATTTTTTAAAAGATTTTATTCATTTATTTTTAGAGAAGAGGGAAGGGAGGGAGAAACAGAGGGAAACAAACATCGGTGTTGGAGAGAGACATCCATTGGTTGCCTCTCACACACTCCCAACTGGGGACCTGGCCTGCAACCCAGGCAACTGGGAATTGAACAAGCGACCCTTTGGCTGGCAGGCTGGCACTCAATCCACTGAGGCACACTAGCCAGAGTGCCTTAGAATTTTTTTAATGCACTTTCTTTTTGAGAGAATATGAAAAGTTCAGAATGATAAAAAGAAGAAAATAAAAGGCCTCCCCCCTCCCCAATCCCATTATCTGGAACATTATTATCCTTTTAAAAATGGCTTTAGTGAGGTTTAACTTTACAGATTTCTCAATTGTGAAATACATGTTGTAACAAATGTTGTACAACACAAAATAAGTATAAAGACAAACAATGATCTCATCCGCACACTTCCTCCAAGCCGATCTCTTTGAGGTAATCATAGTTAACAGGTGGCACCTTTCCTCCGCATGCTCACACAAAACCTCTATAAAAGCTTTTTAAAAATTCTAAGGCAAACAATACATACCCAAATACTTGATATTTGAAGAGAAGATTGCTGGACACAGTAAAATCAATGCTGTGGTTACAAGACAAATCAAAGATTTATGTGTATGGGCTCAGACTGGAAAAGAACAAAGACGAACAAGCCCTTTAATATAGCAAGTGTCTTCATGGGTGATCGTTTTTCCATGATGAATAGAGAAGGAGAGCAACAGCCAGCGGGGGGCGGGGAGGGGGGAGTACATTTTTTTTTTTTTTTACTAAAATGAGATTATTCATCTTGGCAAGTCACTTAATACACCCATCACTCTGGGACAGTAGACCGAGCTCCGTATCATTCTCTTTACTAGTTCAAGAGCTTTTCAGAGACTGGACCCGTCATTTAGTCCACCATTCCCCTTCTGATGGACATTTAGGTTGTTTCCAGTTTTCTGCTACTGTACCAATACTAGAATAACTGTCCTTGTGCCTATAATCCTACATACTTGGGCTTCGATTTCTGCAGGATAGATTCTCCCAAGATGTGATTGCCGGGGGAAAGAATATGTGCTATTTTAAAAATGTTACCAGACATCAGCAGATTATTTTTTGTTAGAATGTGAATTCCACGAGTGCAGGGATTTTTGTATGTTTTATTCATTGCTGTTCGCCTAGAACATGGTGCACAGCGGGTGCTGAGGAAGCACTTGGTGGATGCGGAGGTTTCCAGGGCTGTAGTAATTCACACTTCCACAGCAGTCCATGGGGGTGGGGGGCGTTCCCCTCAGGCTTACAAACAGTGGGCGTTAGAGCCAATATCACAGGTAAGAAGACCTCTCTCTCCCCCTTGCCATCATTGTTTCAATTTGCTTTGACTTGGCTCCTAGTGGAGTTAAGTAAAGCTTTCATATGTCTAATAGCCCTTTGACTTTTCTCTTTGATGAATCACCTGTTCGAATCCTGCACCCCATTTTGCCTTTAGAGTCTTTTGTACATTTGGCCTGTTAGCTTTCTAATACATTTGGTGTACATTTTTCTAGTCTACGATTTATCTTGTTATTGTTTATGTTGCCGTTGAGATATAAAAATCTTTAATATTTGTACAATCAAATTTGTGTCCTTTTTTTCCCCACTCTATAATGTCTGGACTTTCTTGTCCTACTTAAAAAGGTCTTTTCTACCCCAAGGCTTTACAGATATATGCCTCGACTTTCTTCGGATATTTGTATTGTTTTCATTTGTTTGTATTTTTATACAATTAAAATTATTTTGTTAATGTTACTTGGTAGGAGGTTTAGTTCCTTTTTTCTCTTGGACGGAGAGCGGATTATTGCAGTGCTGTTTATTAAGTCATCCTGTGCCCCTGGAACTGAAATGGGACTTTGTTATGTGTCAGTTCATATATAACTTTGTATTTATTTCTGAAGTCTATTTTGTTTTGCTGATCTATTTGTTATTTTTGTGCCGATACATTGTTTTACTCACAGTGCTGTATGGTGAACTCTGATATCTAGAAGGCAAGTTCTTTTCTTTTTTTTATAGTTTTCTTGACATTTATTCTTCCATGGGAACATTAAGATCATTTCATCCAGTTTCCTTTAGAAAGGCCCATTGGGATTTTTGATTCAAATTGCATGAATTTTCAATATTAAATTGAACCTGACATTTTAAACACATTGTCTTCATATCCATCGATGTTCCTCCATTTATTCTGGTCTTATTTTATATTCTTTAATAAAATGTTCTAGCTTTCTTCATATATAGGCCTTATACTTTTCAGAAGTCCATTATAATTTCTAGCCACCTAGATACTGCTAGAGTATAAAGAAAAGCTATTAGAGTTTTATATATTTTTTCACGTACTGAGCTGCATTTCCACGTTATCTTCCCAATTCTAAATGCGAATTTCTATGTGTGCAGTCATATGGCAAAAAGGTGTCTGTTATTTCCTTTCTCTGTCTTATGTTAGCTAGAACTTCTAAAACAATGCTGAATAATACATATTATAGCAGGCATTTCTGTGGTCTGTCTGCTTTTCATGGGAATACTTCAGTAATTAACCACTTAGTATAATGTTGGTTTTGGAAAATAGCATTTTTCAAGGTTAGATAGTTTCCTTTCATTATTATTTTACTTAGAGATTTTATTAGCAGTGACTAATTAATATTATCAAATGTCTTTTAGACACCCATTAAGATAATTACTTGATTTTCTCTTTTTATTTGTTGATGTAATGAAGAATATTGAATTTCAGTGCTGGATTTTCTAAAGTTAAATCATATTCGTATTTCTAGGGTAGAAGTACCCTACTTAGTCAATTTTTATTGTTCTTTCAAAATACTGAAGCTTAAATTGGCTAGTATTTGATTTAGAATTTTTGTATCTATGTCCATGATTCTGAGGTTTTCTTGTTTTTTACAATTATGATCAGGTTTGAGTATTAATGTAGCTCTAGCTCCATAAAGTAAGCTTGGGAACTTTTCTATAATCGGGAATGGTTTAAAAACCAGAGGCATTGTCTGATTTTTAAGGATTAGGCAGAACTCAGTTGTGAAATCATTTGGGTTGGACGCCTCTTTATAAATAGTAGGTCTTTACTTTACTCATCTCTTCTACATAACTGGTCCATCAGCTTTTCTTCCTAAGAAAATTTTGGTATCTGTATTTCCCTTGGAAATTGTCCATTTACTCTAGGTCAGTACATCTCACATATTGACGTGTACACAGATCACCTGGGGAATGTTGTGAAAGTGCTCATTCAGATTCAGTGGGTCCGGGGGGACCCTGTGATTCTGCATTTCTTGCAAGCGCCCTGGAGATGCTGATGCTACTGGTCCATGGACTGCCCGTCCCAAGCCCTCTAAGAATTCAGTGGTTCTGAAATGTCAGGATCACATGGGGCAGCTTTGAACATCCCAGTGCCTAGATTAGTTAAATTAGAATCTCTGGGGGCGAGGTTCAGGCCTCAGTAATTTTCCAAGCTCT